GAGAGAGAGAGAGAATGCAACTGAAATTGTGAATGGGTCAGCGAGTATTCGTTCGCGCGTATTTCGAAATCATTGTTACGTGAAATGAACAGCTGCGCGAGCTACCTATACACACATACTCTTTCTCTCTCTCTCTCTCTCTCTGTCTCTCGTTCTATAGAAGGATTGGATTCCTCGCTTTTTCATTTTTCACATCTTTCCCGGGACACGTATTTTCTACCCTCGCACCTTCGCAAACATGTCTTCCAACTCTTGAGAAATTAATCCGCCAGCATTATGCGTGCACAGATTTATGCGTTATCGTTCGATTTCGCTCCTTCGTTTCGGATTATCGTATCCCGCAACGAATTCCCGCACGTTTGGAAATGCAAATATCCATCGATTTCGATACGCGTTGCGCGAATTCCAATTCGAAAATCGATTTCGAATTTGTATCAAAACTTGATTTTTGATGCGTTGTTTCATCTATTCTGAATCTTTTGATCTTTTTTTCTTTTTTCTTTTCTTTTTTTTTTTTTTGCATCCTACAATCGCGAAGGGATTTCGTTACGAATCCTAGGCAGAGCGTTCGAGCGTTACTCCAACGAACAAAAGAAACAATTTAATCGTGGAATCGAGTTACATCCCGGCTAGCCGAGTTCTCGCGAGACGCAGGGCAAGAGACGACGAGTTTTGTGCGGCCGATGTCTCTCCGGTTTAGCCGGTTTCCCTCTTTCCGAGTTGCGTAATCGCATTTCCAAGTCTGAATACAAGCTTGTTATTTTTGGCCCTCGGGAAATAGGTCGGGGCTGAAATTATTAATTAATACAATTTGGATCCGTATTCCAGCATTAATTAACCGTCATTTGTGACGTCTCCCCGTGAGCGGCGCACAGTTTCATTGATTTAAATCAACGGGGGAAGAGGCCGAAGAGGGTAAGGGGCAAGGGAGTAATTGCGTATTAACACGGTAAATTATTTTCCACGTCCGGTACTTTTAATCGAAATCCCTTTTGTCGGGAAACGGGGGTGGATGGTCGAAAGCAGGGTGGTGGAAGGGCGTAAAGTAAAAAAAGCGAACGAGATCGTTCCTTTCGCCATATTCCTCGGCCGGGCCTACAGCGACTACCACACCCCCATCCATCCCCCATCCACCGACCCTTCAACCGCGTAATTGCTTTCGCTGAAAAATACCACGTAACGCGTCGATTCGATGTACGTTAATAGAATACAGTGCTTGCCGACCGACTACCCCCGTTCGATAGACCGGGGTTTATCGAAACACGATTCCATTCCCCGCTTCGAATCGCCTCCGATTTCGCCGCGAGATCTTTTATATAGAGATAACAGCGTCTCTCGCAGAGTAACAGAGTAAAACTTTCACGAACCACGCTTACTTATTTTAATTAGCGTATATGAAAAATACTTCTTGGCGCGAAATCTCGACAATTTTCCTCCCTCAAAAGCGTGTATTCCCCGCTCTAAGAGCGATTCGTTTCTTTCATTTTGTTCACCGTGTTTTTTCGCTCGAACGAAGAGTCGTTTTGATCGATCGATCGATTCGTAAGTGAAAAAGAAGAAGTAAAGGAGGACGAATGGTGGGGGAGAATGAAAGGGAACGAAAAAAGAAAATGTTTCAAAGCTGGCACCGAGATAACGCACACCTCGATTAATCGAAGAGACTGAAATCAGCTAGTGAACAATTCCATCTATTCTCCTTCTCTTTCTCTCCTCCCGTTGGGAAAACGACCGCGGGATTAACCGCGGGCAGGTGTAATTGAATTTTTCGCGAGCCGCGGCCAACTAATTATTTCTGACAAGGAATAATAACGGAACGACGGGGGATGCAGGTTTCAACTTTGATTCATTATTTCGAGGTTTGTACGCCGGTGGGTCGACGTGCCTCGCGTGTTCTCCACTCGCGTGCCATTGTTTTCCATTCCATTATCGGCCTTTCCGCGCGTTGCCTTTCCCCCCTGACGGAACGAAAAAGAAGGGGGAAAGCAGACAGAGGGAGGACACCTTTGTCCCGGATCGGGTAACCCAGTCGTCGTAACCTCTTTTCTCGATCGACGATCCATTTCTTCTTCACCGGGCTCGATCAACCTCCCCACGATCCACTTTTAATCACCGCGCTCATTAACGAATGATCGAATCTGAAAACTCGCTACGTTTACTCTCGCAACCGGTGTTTATTTTCCCGTAACGTTCCACGAATCGACGCGCTACGATTAAAGCAATTCTCCTCGTCTACGATTTCAATCAAACCCTCCCGTCCCGTTTGTCGAACCACCGCTGTCGAGCCGCCACTTCACCTCGCCGTCGTCTTTTTTTCTTTTCTTCTTACACCCTGAAAATTAATTTCTTCGGGGATCGAGAGAGGCGTATCGAGTAAGCTAATCGCGTAATTAAAATTTCCGATGGGACGACAAAAGTGGTGAAAAGTGGTAAATGCGTTTCAGACGCGCCCGAGACGAGGCTGGTCGGGGTGCCGACCGGGCAATTGGAAGAGGGTCGTGATCAACTCGAGATACGATGTCTGGCCGATGCGAATCCACCGGCCTCGATCCTCTGGAGGAGAACCAAGAGTCCGGGAGTGACGGAGGTGGCCAGTATCGGGGAAACGTTGCTATTCTCCCCGATCTACAGGAATCACGCAGCTGTCTATATCTGCGAAGCGGCCAACACCGAGGGTGAAAGCAGCCCCGTGTCCGTTCAAGTGTCCGTCAACTGTGAGTGTCAACGTCCCCGTTTCCCTCCTATAATCGGCTATCGGATTCTAAAAGTATCCGCGATTAACCCTTTTTCTACGTCAGAGGCTGCCGATCGGTATTCGCGATATAACCGGGCTTATTTGTGAAACGGGCTTTGTGAATAAAAATAACTCTTCACGAGACGGATCCTTCTCTGTATGGTACGGTGTTCGGTTACGCCTCGATCCACAAGGGATGATCGAATCCCGAGACGAGAATCATCGAAGCGCCGCAAAGTGTTTACAAGTAGCTCGTCGGATAGTTTCGAAACGGTATTTGCGTTACAGCAGCTTAATATTTGCCAGGTTTCAAGCCGTTTTCGACAGTTTCGCCGCTTCAAGCTACCAAGTTATCCAACAGCTATTGCGGTCGGGAATTAGTAAAACCCGACGCGACGATCATTCGTTTCACTCGCGTACACGAATCTTTGGGAAATCGATGAGAAGAATCGAAAAGCTTAAATAAAAGTCTGATACAAAATTACCTGACGTGTTGCTGTTAGAGAATTTGTTAGAACGAGCGTTGTAATAACTGTGTTTCTATCGAGGACGAGTCGTTTCGAATCGTTTTGTACGAAATAATTTAGAAATTTAATTACTCGCTACTCGAACACTTTACCAACTCTGTTACGCGACGAAACGCGTATAGCCAATAAATTTTACGTCCTAATAAAAGATTCGGGAAACCTTGTGTGGAGTGAAGTATCTCGTCCGTGATTTGGAATCGTGATTTAACGTCGCGATCGCGAGATATTTCACGTATGACGGCGAAAAAGTTAAGAACGCGATGATGATCAGAGTTTAACTCGCGCGAAACCGGTCAGCAAAACTTTACGTTTAATCTCGACGCTGAGAAATCGATCGAGAATCGATAGAGAAGATTTAATTTTCACGCAGATCCGCCGACGATCAGCTCGGTCGGGCCAGATCGACTAACCACGGCGTTGTTATTTTCTGGAGCCTCGTTCGAGTGTAACGCCGACGCTATGCCACCGGCCGAGTACAGGTGATCTATTCGTCGACTGTTTGCTTCGAGTTCCGTATCTTTCTCCGTTCGAATTTTTCCTCTCTTCCTTTCCTCCGTTCATCAATCAATTTTTCGTTACTTGATTTTCACCTTCAATCTTATATCGCATCACATTTTCACAGCGAAAAGAATTTAGATCAGCGGTTCTTAAATTTAATGAAATCAAAGATTCCTCTCGTGTATCATTTTGCCGTGTGTACTTTCTAACTGTTAATTTTTTTTTTTTTTTAATTATGACGTGAATGAAAGATGCCTGGCTATAATGAGAGATTAACCTTTGTGGGACGGGAAAGCCAGAGAGAGGAATTTTGCTTTCGCGTTATATCTACAGGATCAGGTGGTGGTTTTTACCTATAGCTCGGGTACGTGGGTGCGCTACTACCCAAAGGACTTCGAGACAAGTCCCCCCTGCGGAAATATCAACGTTAATAAAAATGTATAAAAATGTTTTTTATACACTAGCATAAACAATATTGGATCGAACGACAAAATACGATCTCTTCCATTTGTTAGTCTCCTCTCAACTTTAACAACGAATATTTTCGTTGCATCGTGAAATACAAATAATTATAATGAATGAAATTTTAACGCGTGTGAAAATTTAAAAGTAGCCGTATTTATATACTCCAATATAAAGAATCTTATTTACAGTTTAAGAACCGCTAATTAATTTGGATTATACAAATATCATTCGAAGGTGTAATTGCGTAATTTATCACTTTATTTCGTTTGTAAATATGTGCTTATTATATATAGTTTTCGCCTGTTTACGTACTTGTTGCTTCTTTACGTTTCCCCAAAACACGAATCCGTATCCGTATCCGTATTTGAATGAACATTTTGATTCGCACGATTAGCATGGCAAGGAATGCGTTCGTCATCGTAGCTGTGAAATAGCGATATATATATATATATATGAGCCGAGATGCGACAATCATTTTTTCCAATTTTGAATCAGGTGGGCTCAAATCTTCACCGATGGCCGGATGCCATTGGAATGCGGTACAGGGCAACGATTGATCCTGACGAACGTGACGTACGAGCAACAGGGTCAATATATATGTCTCGCCTCGAACAAGATCAATGGGAACGTCAGGGAAGTTAAAAGTGATCCTGTATCGCTGCAAGTGGTCGGCGCGCCCAGGGTAAGAGAACCCATACATCGAATCACGTCTTGATTCAATTTTTTCCCACCCCGATCTTTTTTGATCGTATTCTTTAAAATTCTAATAAATCTCCTTCCCTCGTCTTGTAATGAAAAATGAAAGAAAATCGATACAATTTTATCGTGGAATTATGATAAATTGTGAAAAAACAATACGTGTCGCGAGATAATGAAACAAATCTTGCGTCGCTCTCGAGAGACGAAAAGTCTTTGTTTTTTTTTTTTTTTGTTTTGTTTGTTTGATAGCAACTCGTACCATTGGAGGACCACTCGTTCAATTTGTACGCGTGTTCGAAAAGATGAAATCAAATATATATCATTGGACGGATTAATCAGAAAAAAATTCAGTTGACGCGCAAATCGAATTGAACGCGACGACGATGATGGTCGAGTTAAAATTTAATCGATCGAAACGTAGGGTCGGGAAGGAATAAACATCGGGGTTATCTGGTTTTTACACGTTGTAATTATGTATTATCGATTCGATGCTTTTATCGCGAAATCAATGCACAATCGGAAAACAACAATTTCTACCTGCAATTAATTAACAAAATTATGTTTGTTCGCCCTTGCATACGCGTCGATCTGTTGACGCACACACCGGAATACAGCTCTACCATCCTCTACCGTGACATATTTAAATACGAAATGAGAAATTCATATTTATACCGAGCTCGCGTGTATGAGGTGGTTGAAAAACTACGTGTACGTGCGTGCGTATATACCGAGTAAAACGTCATTTTCACGACACACTCGTCGGTTGATTGCAGTTACACTGGTCCCATTTGCCGCCTACGTTTCGTGGCCCATGATCCGTGCACCACTTGTGGTTCCTGTTATATTGCCGCGAAATCGACGCGATATATTTGACTCTTTCACGGAAACATTAATTTTAAAATGTTCGTAACAAAAACTCCCGTTTTAAAAAAGGAACAAAAAAAAAAACCATACGGGCGAGAAGTAAAAAAAGAATTATCGACAAGTATTAACGCTCTTTCGTAACCCGCGCATATTTTTCGTATCGCGTTCATATTGTTCCCGATAAAATCGACTTTTAAAATTTTCAATTTTTCCATTGAATCGACCGAGTTGGTTTCGAAAAAAAAAAAAAAATGTAGAAAGACAAATTGTAGAAAATTGGATGAAACATCTTACGAGAGAAAAATAAGAGTGGAATAAGATTGGGGAAAAAAGTTGGTTAACCTGTGTCGCAGGTGGTGAAACCGGGTATCACGGAGAAGTTTGTCGTGGCAACGACCGAAGGGAGCCCGGCGAAATTAGAGATCAGACTGTGTTCCGACCCGAAGCCCCGGCTCGTGGCTTGGGAATGGGGCAGCACCAGACTCCACGCCGGTTAGACTGCTTCCTAGCTCTACCGCCAAAAGTATTCGAGTCTTTGGTTTGCTCTTTCAGTTTTTTTATGTACGTCTCTTCTCACTAATTGGCACTCCTTATTACTGAAAAGTGGTATACTCGCGATTAATTAATTCGAGCATCCCTTTAGCAACTCCCCAACTTTCCCCCTTTAATTATCAACCTTTTTCTCGCGTCCTTCTCGAATCGGAGCCCCCAACTTTCACGACGACGATGACGAGCCTTCGATCTTTCCTTCCACTATCGATTGCCCCTCGATTCTCAAGACTCGATTCTTCGCCCTTTCCACGAGTTTAATTCGCATCTTATCGGACGCGTACATTCGTACATACGAGAAAATTTCTATTTTATTTTAAATCTTCCCCTTTCTTTCTCTTTTTTCTCTCTTTTCTCTTTTTCTTTTTTCTTTTTTTTTTTTCGTTCGTTTATTTCCACAGAATCGCTCATTTCTACGGTCGACAATTTTAAGTTGATTTACGATATTACAACGTGCTGCGAGCAATCACGATCGGGTGATCTAATTATCGGGCAAATGTTCACAGGTGAAGTACTGGAATCACGGTATCGAGCGTTGGATCTAGAGCCGTTAGCGGTCGAGGATTGTTATATAGCCGTTTTAGAACTGACTAGCACAGTGAAGGAGGATCAAAGACTGTATCACGTAATCGTGGAAAACGATCGTGGGAGCGATCGTCGTGCCCTGATGTTGAGAGTCGACGAACCAGGCCAGGTAATTAAAACGATATTCGTCGTTTTAAAACAAAGACACGTCCAATCAAATGAATTTCGAGTAAACATTCTCTGTTGCGCTCTTTTCTCTCTCTCTCTCTCTCTCTCTCTCTTATCTTGCGAGAACAAGTGGACTAATTAAATAATTGAACAGTGTATCATCTGCTGGTATTTAAATTAAAACGGTTAGAACGGCATACATATATATATATATATATATATATCCGATACACGCGTATACATCGCGTGCACGTTCCAGACAATGTTCCCTTGGCTCCAGTAAAAAGCGTTTTTTTTTCCCTCCCGCCGCGTATTTGTTACAGATTCCACTCGTTATCGGGGCTGTCGCTGGGTTTACGGTGCTCTCGGTGCTGGTAATGGGATTCGTTTGTTTCCTACGCTCGGATAGATGCTGCGTGGCCAGAAATACGGTGCCTGCGCTCCAGCAAGTGCATTGGTAAGCACGCGATATTGCGTCTCTGGTGATTTGCACGAATAAACGTCGAAGCAATTTACATGGAAAACCTAGAGAACTCTTTTCAAGGGGACACATCCTCGCGGAGCACGTATACGCGCTAATGAATTATTCGACGCATTGTTCCCCTCCGTTCCCTTAATTGTTGGTATCGCGACGCTAATTTCTTCCTCTTCGTACGTTTCTATGCGACGATACCCTTATGCGATACCCCAAACGAATCGTATTGCGCGCGAAAGCGAGAAAGCTAGGGATAAAAGCTAACGATACTGCTATACGCGTGAATATATACGGTGAAAGTGGATCAGACAGTAGTGGCTTGTTTCAGTACGAAGGCCTCGAACACGATGATAGAGGATCCCCGTTTAGCAGTGGATACGATGGAAAGGAACAGTCAACAGTACGCGTCAGAGAAACGACCGAATCACGTCTTGAAACCCGTCCCGTCACAGCAATATCAACAAGAGTGTTATCAACACGATCCGCCTCACCAACAGCAACATTATCAGAGGCATCATCATCACCACCATGGACAGCCTCACGGGCCGCAATACACGCTTCAGGTCAGATAAGTTGATAAACAGAGAGAAACAAGAACAAAAATTATTCTCACAGATGATGTCGCTGAGCGATGTCCTGCAAAATGTTGTTTTATTCCCTCTTCCTTCGATCCCAAGTATCTTTCCCTCATATAGTTGCGCGAATGCACGAACGGAATATATACACAACTTCCCTTGACACTGTTTTTCTTCTTCGTTTTTCGAGCGAATCCCTTAGTAACAGATTCAACGCAATACGATCCCTCAGGCAACTCGTTTTAATTTTCCATTCCTAGCACCATCTAGTCAAGTTTTTCCTTTCAATCCTTCTACGTGTGATTTTCCCGGAGCCTTTCGAATTTTTTCCTTAAAATTCCCGCTACTGTTTACCGGAGAGAAAAATACCGGTACAAAAATATCTTTGGATTTAGACGAGCATCGCGTTTGGTCCATTACATTCGCGCAAGTATACGCGGTAAAGGTGAAATTTTTTTGATCCCGCGAAAACCCATTTCTCCTCGGTTTAGAGAGCGGCCTGGTGTCCGCGAAAAACAAGACGTAGAAGCATTAAGTTCATAGCCGTGTTTTCAGTTGCTTTGATTTTCCGCATTACCGTATAATCCTGTACGATACAGATTACCAAGCATGATTCCTCCCTCTTTCGTCAAAAGTTGAACGAAAATTTCGAGGAAAATCAAAGATCTTCGAAGCGTTTTATCGTTGATTGTAAGCAAGAAAAGTTTCATGTTCGAGAGTTTAGCATCCGTTAACATCTTTTAGATATTTACAACATAGACTTGAAAACTTGTACGATGTGTGACGGTTTCTAGCATAAAAAAAAACCCATTATTCCTATCTGGTTAATTAAGTCAGTTTTATGTTTATTCCATCTCTGTTTATTTTCATCGATCATCATCAATTCTCATCTAGTTTTCTTTCTTCTTTTTGTTCGCGTTTATACAAATTCAAAGTTATCTCGTGAACGGAAATATCGTGTTAGAGTATCGTACATTGAATATATATTTAGAAACGTTACAGATGCACGTGTCTTTACGGTAGTCGGTTACGTTATGCTTTCCCATTAAATACCATCCGATCGAAAAATTCACTCGTTAGACCTCTATTGACGTTCATTCACGCCCAGTAAGAACGAAAAAGGAACGATTTCAAAGGATTCATGTACATACTATACTCATGCTCTGCACGATACATAGTGCTTTGAAAAGAACGGAATACACGTATTACAGTTACGAGCTATCATCTCATAAACTTGTATATACACACATACACACACACGTTGAAAGTATGTCACCGTTTATCGTCTCCGATCGTAATACTAGCCACCATGACAATATAGACTTGCACAAGTATTGACCACCAGCCGCTGTCCCTTCCCCGATCGAGATAGTCATTTGAGTGATTTATGCGGTCAGTAGGGTGTATTACGCATGCATTTGGTTGCATCTAGACACCGCGGTGTCCCTCTCCCAATTACCGCAATGTCCTTATAGGTAATGTCATTAGGTACGTGTACGTAAGTAGCGGTTACAACCATTTCTGCTATAACGCCATCGAATCTCTATTCTTCCGTGTAATTTTAATGGTAAAACGATCGAACGAATCGAACGATATATGTCTACACAATTTGTTCCATGTAACAAATCTTGGAAATAATTTTAAATGGAAAAGAATATCGTAGATTACCTGTAAGAGGAAAAGGATTTTTAATTCAACTTCTCTCTCGTCTCTTGAACGATTTCAATATAATCTGATCCATTTTTACAGGACATCGTATGGAAAAGATATTCGCAAGAAGGTAAATTAAGTATTAAAATCTTGGATTTTATTATCTGATACAGATTGATCGTGCGTTATAAGAGAAACGACTGTACCGTGAATAACAAGGTTAAATAAGAAATTTAATTCTTTCAGCTTGCACTTTTATTATATATGCTTTCGTTTTATTTTTGCATCCAAACATTTCTGATACAGCCACGTGTTTCCCTTAAGCGTTAACGAAAGAAAACGAAAGACTGATTTTTATTAAAAAACTATATTACTCGTTTCTTAAATAAAACATCGACTATATCACTAGCTGATCATGTGCATCGAGATATAGAAAAAGCTTGAAAAATTTATATAGATATGTATTAA